GATTGCGTTCTAGCTGGGCTTTTGCCTTTCTCATTTCTTCTCTGCACGACCTAACGAGATCTGTAGTTCCCCAGATCCTCCTTCCGGCCCTTCTTGTAGATGAGCGTCACATTGGCATTGGCAAGCCTATGACAACTATGACTCTTCTTTGAGGGAACAGGTCTCACAGCTCATACTTTAGAAGAGGATTGTCCCAAAAGGCAAAATAATTACAGAAAAATGACTTTTTGTCAGTGATTAATGTTCTGTCGTACTTTACTGCCAACCAAAGTAAGTTTCCTGCTCTTGGCAAGCCTATGACAACTATGACTCTTCTTTGAGGGAACAGGTCTCACAGCTCATACTTTAGAAGAGGATTGTCCCAAAAGGCAAAATAATTACAGAAAAATGACTTTTTGTCAGTGATTAATGTTCTGTCGTACTTTACTGCCAACCAAAGTAAGTTTCCTGCTCTTCCCAGGTGAAATGAAGTTGCAGCTAAATAGCTGACTATTTATCTCCTGCATTAGAGAACTGAAATGCACAATTAAAAATCCATTTAAGATTGCCAAACATCAGTCACTGTAAAATCCTTTCTTTGTGTTTGCGTTCAGACTTACATTGAGAAAAAGTGATATTTTAGAGAAGCAAATTAAAGCAATTATCATGAAATAGAAAATGGAAAGAAAGCAATGGATAAACTCAGCACCAAGGACAGATTCAAACAGCCACAGGTTGAACCCCAAGCACGGCTCCTGTACAGAGAGCCAGGATTCTCTGAGAGAGAGAATTAATTAGCCTATACTTGCCTACATCACCTATACTCGTATAATTGTCATCTTACCTAAGATACAATTTTATACTTAAAAAGTATAGCGTAACTCCAAGATTTTGAAGAACAAATAAAGCTTCTTTTACACTGCAGTTTCCTCTGACCAGAGTGTACATCTGTGGCTAACAGAAAGGGGAGGATGTAAATAAGGAGTAACTGATAAGGTACACTAGACCCATCCACTCCCTAAGTTTTGCACCTAGCAGAGAACAAAATACAAATTAAATTGTGGGTTGTATTTGCTCCTTCAGTTTTACTCGCACCAGCGTGTTTCACTGCCCTTTTGGATATGGTCCTGGAGATACTGATGGTAGTCCTGGTTCCATGTTCTCACCTGCCTTGGGAGAGGCCTAATTCAGCATCAAGGCTGCACAAGCTCATATGCTGTACGGTCACACTCTCCCTGCTGTGGGGAGCAGTCCACTTTGTACATGTATGAGAAGAGGGGCTTCACCCCACTTGTCTTATATCTCACACAAGCATCCTCACTATCGGACTATAAGACCAATCTTTTTCCCTCTGAGCTCTACGTAGCTTATGCAAAAGGCTCTGCGTAGCCTATGGAAAAGCTATTTAACCACATGCACAGGGTGGAAATGCATCCTACAAAGAAGTTCCATAACATACTCAGTTTATCTGGAGCAAGTTCAAGTCTTTGCTCCAAACAGGGCAGAACAAGGGTGATTCGAACCGAGGGTTTGCCATACCCCTGTGTGGTATGTCCTAACCTATGCCAGCTACTCTGCATGACAGACAGGACAGGCTGTTCACCTAGCCTTCGTGAATGCCTGACCCAGCCTATGCACATAAATCCAAGGGAGGATCCATGGGCAGGATCCCCAGTAGAAGGAATCACCTACCTCTGGCCAGAAGTACTTGTGTAGGTACCCCCACACCTTGCCCCTCACTCACACTCTACCCCTGTCTACCACCATCTTTCCAAGTCTCCCTTCCTTCGATGCCTCATCCTGTGCTGCCCATGGAGGGCAGCTGCCTGACCTGAGGCCGGCGAGTCCTCTGGGGTACCCAGGTGCTACACTGTGAAGGCAAATCTTGACTGTCTTGGAGAAGTTCTCAGAGAAACTTTCATGTTCTCCTTTTATTCTTTCTTACCCTCTAGCTTTGCTTACCATGAATAGAATGACATCAGATAAGCAATCTGGTGCTGAACTTTTGTATCTGTGGTTTTCTTGTACCCCTAAATTTAAGCTTTCATGTAAGCAATAATAAAAATGGCTCCATTTCATCAGATTGTTGAAAAAATGCTTCGTAACAGACATCAGAGAAAAACTGCAACCTGAAACTGCCGAAAACGTCACAACTGTGCGAACATGAGGAAATGATGTATCGTCCTCTCTGGGTTGTTAACTCTGAAGCCTAGTGATATTGTAAAGATCAGTACTTGAAGACACTTTTCACTGACTCCATGCAAATAAACAAGCAGGGAGAAACATTCCTGTGCCAAGGAGGTTTAATAGCAGCTAATATACAGCATTCTGCACATTCCAGCATAAAACTTCCCTAGGATATTTGGGATACCTAACACTCGCGCATTCCAAATGTTGCTCACAGTGGTTTGGGACTCTGGGACACCACTTCCTACATAAGCTATGAGTGGTAGGGTTGAGAAAGCCTTGCCTGTCACACTGCCTATAACAGGTGTAGGATTTATATAACATGCAGGGATTAGTGAGCTTTGCGAAAGACTTCCAGCTGACTGAATAAGCACATTTCTCAGGAACCCCTAAGGATTCAACCAATTATACCAAATGGCGAGCTGTGGAAGCAAGGCTCAAAGTGGGGGTATGGGAGAGCCTCCCCCTCACAGACTCAGAAAACAAGTCTCCAGTGCAAATGTGCTAAGTCCTGCTGCAGAATCCAAGAAAGCAGAGAGCTAGCATCTGCTAGAGCATCTCACTTAACACCCTCTTCTGAAACACGTTTGTTGCCAACTCAGGGGGAACACCACTACTGCCAACTTCCATATAAAATGACAGGATTTCTCACCTGACCCCAAGCAGGGTACAATAAATTTTAAAAAGATATCTTTATTTGGAGGAATATTTTCCTTTGTCATCTCCATTGTCCATTTTCCAATCTTCTGAGCAGAGAATTCTTTCTTTCCCTTAGGATGCCTGAAGCAGTGGGACAGCCTTCAGAGTGGCACTGAAATAGCAGTCTGGGTGTCCCTTTGGGGGACTGCAGTCCCCTGGCATGGCAAGTTTGTCTGTAGAACATATCTGATTGCACGAGCCACCAGAAATGCTTTCTCTGCTGAAGTCAGGAAGACAGAAAGGGCAACATCTGGGCTGATCGAGGCACATAGGAAAACATCTTTGCCAACTTATTTCTATGGAATGGTCCAGTCTGTTGCCCTACATTGGTTGGAAGGATACATTCATAGACAGGTATCTAATAAACTTTGGTCTAAGCAAGTTCTATTGAGCTCAGCTGTTAGCTTTTAATTTTAGAAAGACTTCGGGAGATGCTTGAATATCCCAATTTAGATCGCCTTCTGTAATTTGAATAAATATGTGATTCTGCACAATGTAAGACTGGGTACCTACTGAGATCCACAGAGTTAACCTGACTTTGGATCAGGCTGAGAGTAGGATTTAGAGCTGGTCAGTCACCACATATGTGTGAAGTTTTGTGATGGGCAATTGTTTCACTATTTTCTGCTGATCAAGACTTACTAGTGTAGGATGCAACATCTTAAAAACCAAACATTTGCATCACTTTCTGAGATGTACTGTATCTCTGAAACATAAGACCTCTAGATATTTGCCAGAAGAAAGAAATCTGAGAAGGAATCTAATTGTTCATTTGGAATGGGGGTATACGAGAGAATAAAATAAACATAGTATCTGAGAAAACAATATCATTAATCATGGAAAATTAGGAGAAAGCCACAGACCAGAAAGAGTGGTTAACCAAAAAAAAAAGTAAAATCCATAAACAGAGAAGGAGGGTATGATTCAGGATCATTGGTGCTGTCTTTCAGATCTGGGGCTCTTATGATATTCAGAGCCTCAGTTTCTTAGTACTGAGTTTAGAATTGAGCGTTTAGGATGTGCACAGTTACAAAATTACATGATTTGCTGAAACGACTGTAGAGAGAGTATTTAAGAATATGCAGTTTGACAGCTTTTTGGCATTGATTTATCCACAATATCCTACCAAAGAGAATTAAAATTTTCTGAATGTGTTCCTTCCAGTGAACTGGGACATTTTACAACAGATCACATTTCTCTGGTGCCGAAAACATGCCACTGAGTCAGCAGCTGTGCTAACAGAGGTATGCAGAAACCTTTCCTGCTTCTGCACTAGCTTTGTTTTTATGTTACACGGTGGCTGGAGAACAGGCATAGAGAGGCACAGACTACTGGAGATAAAATATTCATGTTAGATTGAAAGGTTATAGAAGGATTATGACACACTTTTAACTTCCATACAAAGACAAGATGAAATCGTGTTACAGCTTATCAAGAATCAAACTGCAGCCTCTTCAAGCGAAACCTGGCTTTTATTATACATGTGTGTTATGCCTAACAACTGAGCTGCGCTCACAGGTAACAAACAGTATCGGCGAAAGCACACTTAGGACATCCTTAGAATGCAGCTGACTCTCCTCAGAGATACCCTGATCTGAATAGGTGCTTTAAACAACTTCACTAACCCACAAATCTTTTTTTGCCTTCTGCTACTGGCCAAATATTGACCAAATAACTCAATCTTCACTGCATTTGAAGTCTCTGGTACATGCAACAAGACACTGTGACAGTTTTATGAGAGTATGAATATACACACTTCTAGCACTCAGCTGAGCTCTCTAGGGACACTTTCATCCATTCCCATCTTCCCTCCTACATGTAACCAAGGCTGGAAATCAAATCAGCGTCCCACATGTCAATCTCACATTACTTGCCCACCAAAGCAGTGAGACACGTGGTTGCTTCATAACTCTTCCCTCACCAAATTGCACACATCTACCAGCCATCAGCTCATATACACAGGATTAAATGTGGAAATAGCCACTCATGATCACAGCTAACAGGTAACAAGTGAAAACTCAAGTCAAAGGAGCAGCAAAGAGGCAGGCCGGTAGGTAGGTCACTCTGGGAGTGAGGGCTAAGAAAGGAATTTGAGACAGGAAGTATGAATGACTAGTCTGCATTGGCTCAGCAACTGCCTCTCATATGCTGGAACAGCAATTGCACAAAAGCCATATGAAATTCACATAGAAACAGTGCATCCTTGGGCCTCTTCTTTAAAAGATGGCTGTGAACACACCGATGGGCATTACAGAAGATTCAACAGGCTCTGAATAATCAGTTCAGAAAGAAGCATTTCAGAAAATGGAGCCTGCACTTCTCTGCTTCCCTGACACTGGTTAATTACCGCCATTCCTCAAGGCTCAGGTCTCCAATAAATCAGCTCTGTGACACTATTTAATCCCAGCAACCTGCTGACAGCACTGAATTTGGAACATGCCAGCATTTCAGAGGTGTGCTCCAGAAAGCCTTTATGAAATGCTTTAAAGGTATTTGAGAATAACTTCATCTTTACATTATGTTTTATCTCAATATACACTGAAAGCCTCAAGATTTTCTTGCCAAGAAAGACAAACAATGTGAGGACATCGGATACTTACCGCTTCCATTAGCCCCTTTACTGTGGGTGATTTCAGCATCAAAGCATCAAACACCTCATCTGTCTCCTTCCTCACATACAAAAGCACTGAAACAGAAAAAAAGTCAAACTTGGAGCAGGTTCAGTCAATTGAACAGATGAAACACTCCACACAGAGTAGAAAAACAAATATTAATCCATGACAGATAAAATGAAGTGCTGAAGATGGTTTGCACTTAAAAAAAAGTACTCTTATATCATCAGTGATCTAAACATGGAAGACACATCATAGTTGCTTTGAAAACACACAAAGAGAATTCAGCAAATTTAATTTAATGTGAGGAATCTGTATCTTCAAGAATTTAAACTTCCATTTACTGAAATAAGAGAAGCTAAAAAGCACTGGGGCCCTGTCCCTGGGTCATAGGACAAAACACACAAGCCAGGTCTTCCTAAACCTGTGTCTCAGCTTGCACCTCTCCAGGCTTCATCCAAAAGGCTGGGAAAGGACATTCAGAAAAGGCAAGTCTGGTTTGCCTTTAGCTGAGCCTTTAAGAGCAAAATCAACGAACGCCATTTGTACTCCTGAAAATCTCCTTTTCCTCCCTCAGATGTCCTGCCAGGTCTTAGTGGTTCACAGGCGCAGTGCCCTGCCCTCTCTAGCTCTTGTTGTCCCCGCTCTGACCTGTACAGGTAAAAGGAGGAAACTTGCTGTTACATGGCAAAAGCAAAGCAGACAGCTACAAAGCAAATAAACATAAACACTAGAGAAGTGTTTTAGGCGTAATCTCACATGACTGATAAAGTAGCAGGTTAAATAAGATGTTCTACAATTTATTTTGTTCCCTAAATAAACTGCTTTTTCAAATAGCAGTGCTGCACATTAGGTACAAATACGCATGCACTGTTAGGTATTTTATGTCTGTGTGACAAACTACATTGGTAATCATCTTTTTTTTTTTTTGTGGTAGACAGAAAAAGATATCTTTTGAAACTGCTAATCCTTGTGGTCCAAAAGATATCTTCATCAGGTAACTCCATAGATGACTTGCAGACGAACCAACAGAGTTGATGGTATTTTTCATACAGAAGCAATTGTTTGGAAGCTAATTCTCAGGTCAAGGCTGTAGCAGGGTGGACTCAGGCCCATTTGCAGAGAATTGTAGCTTCTTTTCCCAGGTTTTGAAATTATTGAAAAAAGATTTGAAACATGGGCAGATCAGTCACATCTTGGTCTACAAACCAGACGTGCAGGACAATGGTGGTTTTTTGCATCCTTAATTCAGAAGTATGAGCCACAAAACTGTTACCATAGGCACGCAGAACCACATCATTTTCACCTACGTTTTGGTAATTCTTTGGGACCTGCCTGAGAGTGTCCTTTTAAAGGACTTAGAAGCTGAGATAACTTTGGGTCACAACCTAAGTAACTGTCAGAATATAAGAGAACAAAAAAAATCCACATCAGTAGTTAAATTTTATTGGGTCTGATATGTTTACTTGCATGAGCAAGCACTCGCTCTAAGTGCTAATTTTACCTGTACTAACACTTTTATTAATTCAGTAATTCTTTTCTTGTGACTAGGGGGCTGTCCTGTAACTCCTGGCTTTTCAAACATCTGGACCTCTGCCAGCCTTAATAATGACAAACGTATCTGAAAGGAGCAAAAAAGTCACTCAGTCCAAAGTTAAAGTTGGGGACATTATACAACCCAAGCGCTGAGCTTTAAATCTCTCTGTTGTGCTTGGCGTGTCAGGCAACGTTATGCTGAATGAAGGATCCATTACAAGGATAACGGAGAACTTGAATCACTATTATACACACAGAGAGCCAAGATTAGTAAACATATGGGGGGTTGTTGGATTTTTCTTTCCCCCAACAGGTGTGAAAATCCTGGCTTTGATTCACTAGGGCACTTTTCCATAAATGACTTCTGGTGACAGTAATGCCTTAAGAAGCCCCTGTCTCATCCCTGCCCTTGTGCTCTGTTACTCTGGCCCGTCTCAATGAATTTTCCTGGATGATAAACTCTCTCAAACAGCAGATGTGAGTGAAAAAACAACCCTTTTTTCTGAGTTGTTCTTCAGACAGATCAGGTCCCTGCTTCAGTGTACAATGCAGCCCCACAAGCCTTCGTGCTGGCATAACCACGGGGAGGAGGCTGGCTGGCCCGCAGCAGGAGGCACAGCCAGGGCGGAGGGAAAGGGGCTGCAAAGGCTCCATTGGGCTCAGCAGCACTGCCACTGAATGCCAAACCGTGACTGTGACGATGTGACACAACTCATACTTATGCCCTCTGATCCTACTGTCACCACGTTCATGGTATCTAGACAGGCTCACTTTAATAGTACAGGTTGCAATATTTGGGGCTGGGGGGGGGGAAATCTCATATCAGGCAATGAGCTATTTTTGACTGAAAGATAAAAGAGAAATTCAAATTTGTCTGACCTCTACATTACTTGGCCTCAGTTCTTAACCTTCTTACCAGCATTGAAACCCGCTGTAATCCTTAATGCTCTTTAAATGTTAAAAAGAATTGCAAAAGATAGGGATGATAAATTTATCTTTAGTTACTTAAGAAATAGCCCTGATTCACAAAATTGCAGAGTGGCAACCAGCCTTTGCTGAAGGCAAGGGAGGCTGTTACATCTGAGAGATATTTGGAAGCCAGGCCATCAGACAGATCAGGTCCCTGCTTCAGTGTACAATGCAGCCCCACAAGCCTTCGTGCTGGCATAACCACGGGGAGGAGGCTGGCTGGCCCGCAGCAGGAGGCACAGCCAGGGCGGAGGGAAAGGGGCTGCAAAGGCTCCATTGGGCTCAGCAGCACTGCCACTGAATGCCAAACCGTGACTGTGACGATGTGACACAACTCATACTTATGCCCTCTGATCCTACTGTCACCACGTTCATGGTATCTAGACAGGCTCACTTTAATAGTACAGGTTGCAATATTTGGGGCTGGGGGGGGGGAAATCTCATATCAGGCAATGAGCTATTTTTGACTGAAAGATAAAAGAGAAATTCAAATTTGTCTGACCTCTACATTACTTGGCCTCAGTTCTTAACCTTCTTACCAGCATTGAAACCCGCTGTAATCCTTAATGCTCTTTAAATGTTAAAAAGAATTGCAAAAGATGGGGATGATAAATTTATCTTTAGTTACTTAAGAAATAGCCCTGATTCATGATTCACAAGAGTGGCAACCAGCCTTTGCTGAAGGCAAGGGAGGCTGTTACATGTGGGAGATTTTTGGAAGCCAGGCCACTGAACTGAGGATTTAAGTGTGAATGCAGAGGGACAATGTTAGATACCTCTTTTAAAAGTGTTAACAGCTTGGCTCTCCATTGGCAAATCTGCCAAGGCAGAAGACAAGCAACAGACATGTGGCAAAAATGAAACTAAGGACATGATGAGGCAGTAAGACTTCGGTCACTACGAAGGTCTGAACCCAGGCATTAACAACACTGAACTGAGGATTTAAGTGTGAATGCAGAGGGACAATGTTAGATACCTCTTTTAAAAGTGTTAACAGCTTGGCTCTCCATTGGCAAATCTGCCAAGGCAGAAGACAAGCAACAGACATGTGGCAAAAATGAAACTAAGGACATGATGAGGCAGTAAGACTTCGGTCACTACGAAGGTCTGAACCCAGGCATTAACAATGCTCCGATTGACACCCTATGAACAATGACTACAGTCTTTGTAAAGCAGTCTCTGGATGGAGATGTGGCACATTTCAGTCAAGGAAAGTAGGGCTGGTAGCTGTGACCTGGCTTTCCTTTACCACTTTTGGAGGTTTCACTAATTGCCCAGGCACAACTTCCCTAGGTGACAGAGTGAATGCTGTCCTCCACAGGGACGGTTCACAAAACCCTGATTGTTATGAATCCAAAATGTTTCAGAGTAGTTTAACACGACTTTCCTGAGAGACAAAAGCTAGACAAAAATATTACTTTCTTCAAGCTGAGAACTACAGGACTGGAAATCTCCCTGATCTGTAACACAGCTGCTGCATTTATAATTAACGGGAAACTCCCTATGAAATCTGAAAGGGAAAGTGATTTGAAAACTCTTACTACTGAGAACTCCAAACAGGAAAAGGCCACAAGTCTAGCCAAGTAACTAGCTGCGCTGCACACTTGGTACAGATTAACATACTTTACATTTCTGTGTTGGGCACTTGTACCTCCCTTAGAGGTCAAGAAGATGAAAGAATAACTCACAAAGACGCAGCTACCTGTGTGAGAATATGAACCTTGTTTTACCAATGGTTTGCAAACCCCTTCAGACCTGTTCTCTTGAAGGCTGCCCCTTAATACTTTTGCTTCCACCAGACAGTATTACAATTAGGTCCATCAGGCAGAGGTGAGGCCACACACTGTCACTTCAGTTCTTCAGGTGGGCTTGGACCCCTCACTGGGTGCTACTTACCTGCACTGCTGTGATAATGAGCCACCTTGGGATTACATTGCTTTTAATGCATATTTTCACATATCAGACCTGCTCTCTCTCAAACATTACACCAGCGCCCCATCTATACCTGCTCTCTAGGAGTTACTGATTCTGCTGTACCAAATAAATCTGGGAGAAAAAAAGCTTCTAGTATGGCTAAGCCTGGGAAAAACAGCAGAACATTTTAATACCCGGTGACTCCTGTGGCAAAGACGGTATTGTCAAATGGGCAGATTCAGCTGAGCTGCGCTCCATCAGCACAATCCCAGATGCAGGGTTCCTGACGGCAGGAAGTTCACCAGAGCAAAGGCCACGCTGGAAGAGCCTTGGCCTCCAGCCAGCACAGTCCAAGTTGCGAGAAACACTGAACAGGAAGGGGATGTGAAGAGAACATCTTCCAGCTTCTCTGGTTCCATGTCTCTCCTGGATTTAATTATTTAACATAGTTTTGCCACCAGTTGAAAAACATTTTTTCTTCTTTCAAATCTTCCCCTTGAAATGGTTGCAAGTCCTGGACGATATTAAAACAACTTACCACAGCAAAGGACAGGAATAATCAAAGCAAACCAATACCTCCTTGCAGGCAACTCTCCAGGCTTCCAGCTGGGAAACCCAGGTGAAATTGCAGGAAATGACAGTTCTTTATGTACCCCTTGTGTCTGTCCCCTTCTGCTTGATGGAGCCCTGGTAATGTGAATTTGGTCAAGGCCTTGAGTCAATCAGATGCAAGTCTGTGGTCAGTGCTGACCTCACATAATTAATTGAAGATTTAATTAAAACATGTTCACATTTATTCCAGGAAGATATCAGTCTCCATCCTGTAATCTTGTATGCTTCTCCTGGTTCAAGCACACCACCCTAACCAACAGAGAAACTTTGCAAATGCAGGCTCATGGGAAGTTGTTTCTATAAAGCTCAAATGAGTCTTACAAATGGTGCAACTAAGAACAAGTGAGCTCACTTCTGTACCTTGTTGCTTTGTTGTGTCACAAACTGATGGGTGAACCTCAAAACATTTGCAAGTTTGAGTTATATAAGTTGGTCAAACCCCCGGAGCCTCCAATAAACTTACATGACAGAACTCATGAGACTGAAGGAATGGCAAATATTCTCCAGGGTGTCTAACTGTGACAGTGTAGGAAGTTATCACCTATAGCACTGCACTGGAAGTGACTGTACACAAAGCAGATTTTGTGGACAAAACCAGCATCTGCTCATCCTTACCTTCAGTGCAAAGTTTAACAGCTCCACCTAAACCATTGCTTCAATATTACTCAACTTAAGCTTCACTGTAGCAGACTGGAAAACAGGAGTTGGACTGGTATAGCATACGAAATGCAACTGTAATAATATTCATTCAGGGCAGTAAAAACAGTTTAGGGAAACAAACACAATTCAGTTAGGTCTGCTGGAAGATGTCTCTCCATGCCTTATATTTCTAATTGGGTAGGAAATTTCTGAGATTTTATTCAGGCTAATCTCGCTCTGCAGTCAGCAGGAGCTTGCCTGTGTAAGGTCTCTGTATTTGACCCAGTGCATCTTGCATATTTGCTTGTGATCCCAGCCAGAACAGAAAAGATGAGCAAAAGTTAAAAATAGACAACCACAGATTTGCTACTGGAACATTTATGAACTATGTAGCTTGGCCAAGGATCAAGAAACTTTCTAGCTTTTTTTATATTTTATATACACTTGTGTCCTGATCCCTTCTTGAGATAGCACAGTCCTTTTTTTTTTTTTCTTTTCTGCTTTTAAATCATTACTAGCATTTGTTAAAATGCCTCCTTGTATACTGGCAGGCGTAATGATCTCTTCTCCCATCTACCCCACATTTGCACTAGCATCAAACAACTGACTTGGTCTGAGCCACACCTGCCCTCCCAGCTTGAGGACATGAGTCCCACAGCATTATTTTTAACTGCTAAGAATTGACTGTTACCTCTTTTCAGGCCTTCTTCTTTCATTTGTTTCAAAGGGGACGGACCAAACTCTTCCTCCACAGGCCGGAACATCCTTTTGACCAGGACACTGCTACTAGAAAACACACAACAGGTACCATGTCACAGTAAAACTGTGCTCCCAGCAGGAGAGGAGACAACAGCAGCAGTCGTGACTCACTTTGTACTCTGGCAAAAACCCCACTAGCTACTCAAGTAGCACCAGACCAGAAACTGCAAGGATTTAGCTTTTGATGCTTATCTGAACTCTCCAGGCCTCTCAAATTGCCCAGACTGACTGGCTGGGACAGGTGACAGGAAAATACACTCCTATGTTACATACTATTTTGAAAACCCCAAAGGCCGTTAACTGTTTAAATATTGAGGGAAGGGGGATGGGGAGGAGCAAACAGCTAAGTAAGGAGCTGAACCCACATTTACACATTGATTCACCTCCTCTTCAGGGTCAAGGAGATGGCCTCAGGAAACAGCGGCAACATTTCTAAAATCTGAGACCAGACAAACCAGCGAGTTCAAAAGGAGTAAACATGCTGGGCCAGATCCAGCCCGAAGCAGCGACGCACTCCACCAGGGAAGCTGAGGGCTCAAGGCACTGTGGCCGCCCCCTCCCCTCGGCATAGCTCTGGCAGGACTCGGTGCCTCCTTTTACTCTTGGAGGAGAGAACTGAAGCCAGTGTGCTTAATGCAATAAACCCCTTTGTTTCTTGAATTCCACTGTGAACCTTATGAAGAACATTAGCTTCATAAAAGAAACAAAAAGGGCTTCATGTTTTCAAGTCAATGTTAGCTGCAGGCGCCCGGCCACTCCCTACCACAGGCCACTTTTTGCAGGCCTACGTGAGTGCAGTTGTCTTACTTCAAACTCTCAGATTTGAGGGTGCTCACTTGGGATTCAAGCAACTTATAAAAGTATGGGGCTTGCACACATTACAGTTAATACTGGCCGAACTTCAGTCACACATACTAAAGCCCTTATTTCATGACATCTGTAACTATTTTAGGGACTTTCTGCAATTCTTCCAGTCCCTCCAAAGACAGACAGGGGGTGCTCCCATTTCCAACCTTCCCCCTTCCCAGGATCTCCCGTTCTCTTTCTGCCTTTCTCTTCTGGCGCTTGGGCATTCTCTCTGCCGTTCCTGTATTTGTCGCATAAACATGTGTATGCTGCTAAACAGCTTCCAGGAACGGGGTGAAGTTCAGTGCTTCATTAAAAAATTCCTGGTTTTAAAATTATTTGAGAACCCTTATATATATAAAAGACATTTTGTTATCAAATATATTGTCCTGTCCCTGTATTGAACCTTATGGCTCTTTAAACTGTTTTACTTGGAAATGTAATAAAAAATAGATATAAAAAGCAGCCAGTTCACACAAAGGAAAAGAAAGTTACCATAAAATAAACCTCCCTCTACCAGTTCTACGTATTATTCACTTACCGTTAGTGATGGGAGAATATGAGGGAAGGGGGTGAAAGGGGATCAGTTTTATCTGATTTCGTGTTTTGTGCCTGCTTTCTATGAATTTGTACCACTAACTGCAAAGCTTGTGAAACAATAAATGTCTTACCCTTCTCTCTCATCATCTGTATTATAGTAAACCTAGAAGGGTGGAAAAAAACCAATTATTCCCGAAACTCAGACACCTGCTTAACAGAATAACTTCAAAAGGGAGAAAAGACAACAAGTGGTTTGCAGTTTTTCATCTGTTAAAAATCCTTTTCCTTCTATAAAACACAAACATCTCTAGTTCTAATTGTGATCTGGAAAAAGCATGGCTTAGAAAAACTGCTGTTGAATATCACCTAGTGGAAATATATCAAAGCATTTTGACAGACATTGCCCTCTCCCCTGGTTTGTATCATTTTCCCAATTATTTTACAATCCTCTAAATCAGATCACTGCTCACCTAAATTACCCCTAATACGATTTAAGCCACAACACTCACAAGCTTTTGTATGTATTTAATACTGTCTGAAAATCTAATTAAACTATAAAGACCAACATTAATCTACAGTCCTAATGGAAATACAATTACTAATGGCACAGCTGAACTTTTTTGCACAGACTGTGGGCAGAAGCGCAAGTCCAGACCATTGTTTTGTGTAAATCAGCATAGCTCACAGTCACTGGGACCGAATTTACAACAGCAGCAACTACGGCTAACAGTAGCAGGGGAGAAATAAAATCACAGTTTGTTGTCAAAGGCTTTACAGAACAGTCAGCCAAATTCCTCACAACATGCCTGCACCGCGGGTCCGCACCAACAAGTGCACCAGCACTCCAGCTGCTGAGTTACTGTGCAAGCGTGGGGCAAAGGCACAGCACCGGAGCCCCACGTACCGCTGGGGCAGAGCAAGGCATCTCGGGCCAGTTTCCAGCACTTGTGCTGGCAAGACTCAGAGCACACTCGGCTCTCAAGGGGAGCCTTCACTTCTGAACCTGTACAATGAAAATAGCTCAGAGGTGGGTGTGTGTGCAAAGCTGAGGTCTGTAACTCATTCTATGATCAGCACCTGAAAGTGGCTACACTTTCATAATAAAACATTCATAAATAATAAATTATTGTCATAATAAATCATTCTTATATTAAGTAATACACAAAACAATTGAAAAGTTCAGGATAGCAAGAATGCCAATACTACAACCTATACAGCAGTAAAAGACAGAGCTGAACATTGCCTAGGAGCTAGCAAACTGGGGTATCTTCCAGTTATTTTAGAAAATAATTTACAGGATTACATATACTAAGGAATGCTTCCGCCTTCTCCTGTTTTGAGACAAATCCACATTCTGGTTTGAAAGCCATGAAGACAGAAGGTACCCAGCACTGATACGTGCGTGGGCGTCTTTCCAATTTTGGAGAGTAAGTCAGTGACAGCTGTGATTACAATGTCTGCGCTCTTTGTGCTTTGCTCTACCACAATTCTCACTGCTTTAAAATAAATGACAATTCTAACACTGTGTCATTTAATATTCGTTATTTTAATATTTTGCAGCAAGATGCACATAAATTTTCCTCATCTACTATTTGTCTTTATAAACACATGCATAAAGGTCTCATTCTACTCCCTGAGATGTTAATAAATAACAAGTTCATATTCAAAAAATTGTCAGAGCTGACCCTCCAATTCAGGTTTGCAATTTTCCAACAAGCAATAAAGCAGGTCTTAAAAGAGTCAAGTCAGCAAAGACTTCCTCACACTTACTGGTGATAATGACCCCATGACTTCTGCACTAAGCCAATACTGAATATTAACATTAGCATGATAGATTTTTACTTTGTAGAGTGAAAATATTTTCTTCCAAGGAATTCCCAGATCTCTAGGTGATGCCAACAGAAAATGGGCAGTGGTGTTTAGTGAGCCTACTTTTGACCTCCCCACATGTATAAAAGCTTGGTCTTTGTTTTCAGTTGTCACAGCAGGGGGATCCCTGCTACCACAAGGTGGCACTTCATTTCATCAAGCCAAATAGCACATTCAAAACCTGACTTTCTTTGAGTCACAAATCAACCTTCTATTTCAAAATTCTTGACTATTTGCTCCATTCTTTCTTCCTAGCAAGAGAATGGCAAAGCCATAACAAACACAAACTAGTCAGTTGTTAATGAAGTATAAACTCCTTTTTTGCACCCAGAACTAGAAAAGGCACTTTGTCTCTTGTAAGGTCTTCTTTAAGTGACTCACCAAGAGCTGCATTTACCAAAACGAGAGCTGAAACAAGCAGCCCCCAGGAACAGTGATTTATTTTCCTAAAACCTGCCTTGGAGCACACGTGGCCAGACAGCGGGTGGGCACCAGCTCGCCTCATTATCATTTCCTACCTGTCCAGTTCTTTGTAGGTTTCCAAAGTGAACATCCGGTATGAAGAGAACTGGCTGGGAATCCAGGTCAGCCATTGTTTTGAAGAAGGTGATATCACTCTTTTTTTGCAGAGGGAGCGCACTCAACTTCCCTTCAGCTGCTAGGAAGATCACAAAGCAATGTGGTTATGAGAGGAGGCACGTTAAGTGTGACTTAGCCCCAGACCAGAAAGGCCCGTCTTACTCACAGTTATTACACGAGGCTTGGGATGCCTGGCCTTTGCCTTTCTTCCTGTTCTGCTTCCTCTCTTCGTCTCGGATTTTCCTTTCCGCTCCCTGATGCAAAAAAGACAAACCACAGATATTATCCAAAGAGGAACCACTGTGAGCATCGTACCCTGTGATACCTGGATCTACAGCAACGGACACATCAGAAATGCTGAAACAGACTGGTTATTCCATTACAGATAAATCTGTCCAAATTGTTGGGAATGTGCCAGCTTCAGATCAATCACCTGTGCCTGAAACTCAGGCTGGCACATCCAGCAGCCCCCAGGGCTGGAGACAGCAAGAGGAACATATCCACATGCTGGCTTGGAGGAGATGGGATGGACGGCTCAGGCAGAGTGCAGCCTGTAGCAGGGCTGTTCCCACCACAGCTTGCACAAAGGGCATCCCAAGCCCAGCGCCTCTGTGATAGACAGAGGGGCAGAGTGCTCAGGCCAAATACTTTGCATATAGAATCATAGACTCATTAAGGTTGGAAAAGACCTCTAAGATCATTGAGTCCAACTGTCATCCAAACACCACCATGCCCACTAAACCATGTCCCTAAGCACCTCATCTACACGACTTTTAAATACTTCCAGGGATGGTGACTCAACCACCTCCCTGGGCAGCCTGTTCCAATGGTTAACCACTCTTTCAGTAAAGACATTTTTCCTCATGTCCAATCTAACATGTACTGACGTAGAACACCTGCAGGATTGCTATCACCTTAGATCATGTCTGTGCTAAGCTTTTCCCTAAACTCTCCTTCACCCACCTTGTCTGGGGGTGGCATTGCTCCACTGTGGCCAGCTTTGTAGAGGCCTTTGAGATTTGCCAGTGCAAGAAGGCTAAACTGACAGCTTGCCAAGAGTGCAAGGGCTCTTACAGAAAAATACAGGCATTTCAAACAGGGAGAAGCCCTCCAGAAACTGGAAAGCAATGTAGCACTGCCCTATTAGGCCCCAGGAACTCCTGGGAAGTTGCAGGCTTCTGTTATGTAAATACACTCTCAACAAGTTTAGAAAATAGAAGTTGTTATTGACATAAAAAGCAGCAACACCTCCTTTGAAGTTCTCCTAATTTACTTTATAAATATGAATAGTCATGTTGTAAAGGGTATTAAAGATCCATATGCTCCCAGACAGTCAGCATGCAAAATTAAAGATTTTTTCCAAATTAAAATTAGAAGTTTCTTTAAAAGAAAGGGGGAGGGGGAGGGAGGTAAGGAAAACCAAAAATATCCACTCAAGATGGCAAAATTCACACATGAGCCAATGAACCAAGCTTGAAAAGAATGCAAGGAAAGATGTACTCCTGGCTGTGAACTATCAATAGATTTCCAGAGGTTGAAGAGAGGTGGAGGAAGAAACAGCTCTTTAAAAAACATGAAGGTGTCTAACAGAAACATTGCCTCCAGAGCCAGGTCCCAATCCAGTTGTCACTGACCTCAACCACAGAAGCCAAGGGATTCAGAGTCGTGCCCTTATCAAAATTGTTTCTAGGAGTACATTTGTATCTTTAAAGGCCACCTGTTCTTTGGCAGAAAGGAGCAAAATTATGCCTCATAGCCACTGCCCTGCAGAAGGCACATCCCTGAGAGCCCTGTGCTGCATAAAGCAGCTCTGACAGGCAGCCACAGCCCTACCCGCCGCTCAGTGCTGCCACTCTGCTGCTCGCAGGTAGCGGGATGAACCTTGAAAGTCATTTTGTACATGGCAGCAAGCTCAAGTTTCCTCTCAGGAAAGCAGAAACCGAGGAGGACTCAGCCTTTTATACACAATAAAGAATATATGTTTTGCTGATTTTTCTTCAATATTCTCTGTAACTATGAATTTGGTAAAGCTTCACAGCTTTGTCTTCAGTCATTCAAGGCAAGACATCCCCAAGTCCTCTGAGGTCGGGCAATCTCTGAGCAGGGCAGCCATTCTCACCCGCCGGTGCTTATTTGTGCCTCAGCCACTTTACAAATGTGGCAACTGCAATACCCACAAAACTGCCTACCAGCCCTTCTGAGCTAGGAGCATCCCACATGGCACAGTGCAGGGGCCAGCCAAGCGTACATGATGTACATCACTGTTGTAGGTGCTGAGACAATGGACCACAATAAGATTTTTGCATACCAGAGCCCTTCTGCTGGACAGTTTCCACAGCTGAGCCGTCTGACACATATGTGTCCTTCATACACAGTGGCTAAAGCATCTTGCAATATATAAATAGGCCCGGTAGCAAGTTGCTCTGACAACCTACTTAAGGACTAAAAATGATATTCTCTTATCATAATGCAGCATCAGTGATCTGCACATGATAAAAAGACTGCAAGGGCAGAGAGAATTAGCACTGAGAAAACAAGATGTGTACTGTAACAGTTTCTTTGAAGATTGCCTACTGGAAAATAAACAGGGACAAAAGATTGGAGAATGAATAGGGAGGAAGCACACAATTACAACCTTTGCAGCCTTTATCTCCATACATTTATGTCACAAAGTACACACTGGATCTGAGCTGGTGTTGCTCTCTAGTTTATATGTAAATGAATACTACATTTAAGCAACTGCCTGAGTAAATACGAAAATATATATAATATGTACCACTTAGCTAAATGCAGTTTTATTTCTTCAGGGATACTCTTTCCACAACAGCTATGCTATGTTTCAGCTGGAGGACATTAATTTATCAGCAAATGTTTTTCTTAAAAACTGGACACCTCTACCCATGATTTATCAAAGTTAATATACAAACACATCTACTGGTCCTAAAGAGGCACCATCACTGCAGAAAAAACATTTGCAAGAACACTGTCAGGCACAGAAACATTTTTAATTCCACGTTTCGAGCTAAGATACATTTCAGTACTTAGGCAGGGGGAATTTGCTGTGCAGTTCCTCTGATCCAGATGATCGTAATAAATCAGGCACTTTTCTCACCAGCTCCTCTTTGGGGTTGTCAGATTGGGGCATAATGGTGCAATTCATATTTTTAAAATGTATAAAAATTATTATATGTTTGCTGGTTTTTTTTTTTAATGACCCTGTAATACTTTTTTAATTGATCATGACAAAGAGGTGGGCAATAATTGTCTCAGCTTCACAGCCTTTCCCAAACAGGCAGCAAACCCTGTCTTTGTCACTAGAGGGCGAGTCGCAGACTCGGTGGAGGAACTGAGCCAGGGACCCTCCATTTAGCACCGCCTCAACCGGTGCCAGGGTTTATTTTGGCACCTTTGAAAGATGAGGGTACCCAGCCCCAACAGCTACCTTCCTCTGAGCGCAACAAATCTCCCAGTGCCACCAGCAAGTGGAAATTCTCCAACCACTTATTTACTTACACGAGCACCATGACGAACAGATGTTGGTAAAGATAGAGCAACGTGAGGGGAGAAGCCGGCCTCAGTCTCTTTCCAAGTGCCAATTAGCACAAACTGTCATGTGAATTGACCTTGATCATTTTCATTCATTTTCATTCATTCAACTCATTTTCAGCCCTGCATTAAGTTAAAAAGCTCTGTGTGCAGGTATGCATGTATACATTTCTATTACACAGATACATATCCCATTATTGATACCCTTGAGCCCTCCAGTTCCCACTTTCAATATAGTTTTGATGTGGATAACACTTTAACTACCCCTGCGATCTTGTCTTCTACTTTGAGACAGTTTTGATTAAAAGACTCAACATCCATTTCCTGCTTTCTAGTCTGGATATTTGAAGTACCAATTAAGCCAATAGATGCAATGAACGTGTATTATTCAAAATCTCCACCAGTTGTGTCTACAGGTCACCCTTGATGAGTTTGTGCTCTGAATTTTCTTCCTTTTTTTAAATAATTCAGATTTTTCTAATTGCTTTTCAAAACCAGGTAGATGAAAACAACTTGTTACTTTGATATTTACTGAGCTTTTAACATCCAGCTGTAGCTTCAAATCTCTAAATATCTGACATTCAAAGTTACAATTAAAAGCATAACATTTTGACTGCAAAGACCTCAGTGCATACATTTACATTCATTACTTTCAAAATTTTTGCTCCACTAACACAACTGACTGATTAGCTCTCAAGATCCCGTTGTCAAGACAGCAACAAGGGAATGAACTGAAAAAGGGGAAGGAGCAGCAGCACAGAGACCTGGAACAGTTGAACTCTTACCCTTCCATTAAAAAGTTAATGCTATGTATTGCCTGGGGCACAGCCTTTGCCTTTCTATTCCCACCTGTAAGATGGCAAGACTAAATTGGATAAATTTCCGAGTCACTTAAATAGATGTAGGCTGAATCCTTGAACCTTGACTAGAATCCAGGCATCAGCTCCCCCCTGGAAGATCTTTCCCAGCAGGGTTAAAGTCATCGGCTGGCAGGTGTTAAACACAACTGAAACATGATCACGCTCACATCTAAGAATCATCACTAACATTTCTGAGCAACTGTTTCTACTCAGTTATATATACCGCTGACCATGACGCTGTCAGACTCATTAAGGCATGATCCATGTTTTGGTGCTGAAAAATCTTACCAATTCTCACAAAGGAGTGGGGAAACCCACTGTAAAAGAACCAAATTTTCCAAAAGGAGTGAGCAAGAAAAAAAATAATAGCTACTGAACTACAAAATAGGAATGGCTAATATATTTTTGGAGTTTACTTTTAATAAGAAAATCCTAGCACCATGAAAGTCTCATTAAAGCTTCCAAAATAACAGTTTGTAATCGAGTGAGGGGAAAAAAAAACCATCAGCTGCATCACTGGGACTCGATGTTTTCCACTGTATCATAAAAGAGAGCTTCGCAGGCCTTTCTGAAAGGTGCATTTCTCTATCAGAGACCTCTCCACAAAGTTTACACGTTACCTATCCTGGCTGTTAGAGCCAGAAGGGATAACATCATCAGACTGGCGCTTGCATGAGCCTATGGTCAGCACTGACCTTCTGAGTAGAGATCTTTAAGTTTGTGCTTTCTATGACTTTTTTGATATTCCTGTATCGTGACCTATAACATGCTGTCTTTAAACAGTCCAACTATTGCTCACAAGCTGAGGAATTGGGGCCAAAAAGGCTGCAAAGCAGTAAAATAATTACATTATAATCTTAGATTTATGATAAGGCTGGTCCAAAGTCTACCATGAAACTCAACTCTTCAGGGAAAGAAAAAAACATTTAATTAGGTCAAAAACACAGCAATAATAAACTGTCTAACCAAGGTTCCTTCTCTATACATGGTAATTGTGCTTTCCACTTACCTTGTCACAAAAAACCTTGATCTGGCAGTAGGCTCGGTGGATGGGTTTATTGCTGCGGTTGTTGTAGCTGTATGTATCGATCTGAATCATCAAAGGAAGCCCTTTTACTCCTTTTTGTGAGGAGAAGTCTGTGCTCAAGCAATTCACTGTGATGAAAATCTGCGGGCCAGAGAGATTACTTTTAAAATGTGGTGCAAACAACTATTAAACTTCTGGAAACACATGACAACAAATGGGAAAATAAAAGCAGATACCCCCCCCAAAAAAAGATTTTAATTCAGCTACAATCTACACTGGCAATTCACACATTTATTCTCCACTTCTGTTCTAAGTCCAGCAAAGATGCTCCCATGCTGGGAAAAAAGACAAACTTTTAAGGCATGTATCGATGCTTCAGTTTGGATCAGGAGCTCACATTTGAAGTGAATCATTTGATTGTCCCAAGTTACCATGCTTTGGTTCACACCAGAGAGCTCAGAGTGCATGAGCTGGATTCTTTTTAGAAGAGTCAGACCAGAACATGTGTCCTAGGAGCAGACCTCACATGCTCCAGCTGCTAGTTGCTCAGTCTGTGGGAACTAACTAAAGATAATCTGAGATAAAACCTCCTAAAATGTGTCTCACGTGGATGTCAGGTCTTTAGCCCTGACTTGCTTCACTCTACAAACCTGCTCTGTATGTTTGCGTTATTTGTTAAAATAGACATAGCAAGATCATCTTGCATCGTTCCTTTCCAGCTGTTTTTTTGTCTGGCTTGTTCTTCTGACAGCTCACAATTTAAATTCAGTGTGGCCAAAGATAAGTCCTACCCTTTTTTTATTTTACAAGTTCTCTTCACACACTTAGCAGCAGTACCCCTTCCTCCATCCCATCAACAGATACTCTTGATCTTCACTTTAAGGGTCCTTCACTGTCTGTCTTCAATTTCAAAAAATGCATTTCATCCTGTCTTTCAAACTGGGAAGGAGTTCCTCAAATATTTATAAAACTACACCCTACCTCTTCTCAAAAGTCCCCTTTGCCATATAGCATCCACGCAACTTGATGCTGCCCTTAGTTCCTGGCAAGCCCTGCCTGCCTTTGCTTCAGAAACCCATCTCATGCTTTCCTTCTATGCCCACTTACATCTGTTGATAGCCACTAGTCACCTCCTGCCCTCTAACCTCCATCGGTACTACAGAACAAGGTGTGCCTCATCTGCCATGTGTTTGTACAGCACCTGGCAGATGGGTCTCCCACCACCAAGTCTGCCAAGGACTATTTTGATGTAAAGCAAGCTGTAATCATGAACTGAAATATCACTGGTATCTTTCAGTCAGGATAGTGTGCATGGAACTTGAGAGATGAAACTGGATTAAAAATCCAATTGTTCTTCCTAGTGATGAGTTTGTGCATTACATAGTAATTTCGGTCAACTATTTATTGACCTGATGCTACTTTTCACTTTTCCTCAGTTTATAAAACAACAAAAACTGAAACTGTGAACTAAGGAAAAGGACAGAGAAAACCACCAGTACATACTTCCTGAACCAGGAGGCTGTGAAACCTGCTCCAGCAGAATGAGCACACTCAGGAAGGAAGCGATCTGCGGGGTCAAACAGACCTGACGCACACCTCACCAGGCAGAGGAGAGGCCAACAGGCCCCTGGGGTCTGGGAGGATTAAGGAAGGGAGAGCATGAAGGAATCCCTCCACGATCCACAAGCAAGGAAAAAAAACAGAGTGACCAGAATACTAACATCCCTAAGGGGAAGGCAGCTGAGAATAGAGAAGGGCTCCGGTACAGGTGGTGGGGGGATACTTTACCCTAATGGCAGAAGTTAACATTACAGTCAGGTTTTTTATGATGGAGCCAGAGCAGCTTGTTTGCCTGACTGAGCTAATGGCACCTCTGCATTGCTGCTTCTGATTGTATCACAGAGCTGCATTTACAAATGAAATAGTTGAACTTTAACTGCGGGGAGAGGATGGAGGCGGGGAAGGGCCCTAGGTGAAACTCTGATTTTGAAGCTGATAGTGTTATTTCTGTTTCAAATTACAACTTGGTCTCCTCCAGCTCCAAAGGTAAGTGTGGATATGGGTGCATATGCCTTTGAAATATGATGGCCTGAATTTTCATTTGCCTTCAGACTCCTACAGTGTCAGGACAATGCTTTAAAGTGTGTGCGAACACAGAGCAGCAGAATGAGGTCTGGCGTAAAACAGAATCTGGCCTCGATATATTTTAGCCCATACTTCTGCACAGGGATTTTCCAAACTGTACGTTAAAACGTGAGAGGGGACACGCAGGCTTTGCATCTACCCAGCAGTTTGTGCATCTACCACCTTTGCTGCACACTCAGCTAAGAAGTAAAAAAAGACCTCGTCCAACCTTAATCAACTACATACACTGTGTGTCATCTCTTCCACTGCCTCCAGAAACACAGAGCAGAGTAGGAGCGGCTGGGGAAGACAGACTTTATTGTTTCAAGAGTCCCCATACAGCAATAACAGATTATTCAGCATGAATAATAGATTGATGCTGTAAGATTCAATATCCTTGTCCTGACACTGCAATACATCAGGATCTCTCTGAGGAGCAATGACTGTATGTTCACACGCATGAAGTGTACTATACTTTGTCATTTGCACCTCGCAGATACAGATGGATTCAAATTAACACAGATCATTTATTTTTGGGAAAATTTTCTGTCTCCACACAATCTTCTATTAGCTTTCCTGTAAAGCACAACACTGACTTTGGATTTGGAAAACATGTGGGGTGTGCAGAGGGAAGGGGAAGAGGGTGTAAGTTGCGTTACTTGAGTTGATTTTATGCAGGTTTTTTCTTTGCATGACTGGAGATTTGCACCAGTTTTAACACTATGGTGCAGCAAGCTCCTGTGGTGAACAGAACCTGGGGAACTGTCTGGACAGCTCTGACCAGAAACCTTCGCCTCCCCGAGGCAGTGGCCGAGGAATGCCGCCTGCTCTGAGCAGCAATGATTTCACCCACCTGTCCAAGCACAGCCTGCTTTGCCCTTTACAACCCTCACCTTTCTCTCCTTTGCAGCTCCTGTCCATAATGCAGGTACTCCCACTCTCAACGAGTCAAGGAGCAAAACAACCCCACGGGCAGCCATGGAAAGATGAAGTCCCACTCCACCTCTCTTGGAAGACACCCAGGTTTAAGATCGTCCTTACTCTGGTCTCTCGCATAGTAGAGTTACATGGTTAGAAAATGTAGACTTAAGTAGAAATGACAGTAGCAGCAGTAGAAATCACTGCTTTTTTTTCCCCAGGGCCCTGTCTACACTTGACTTAGAACTATTTTAATGGATGTGACTATTTCTGTACCTGAATTCATTTACAAACTTTTTTTTTCCTGTGCAAACTGGATTTTAGCAGTGTTTTGCTATCAGGAACAAGTTTGGGTTGTCGTTATAGTGATGTCTTTTTTTTTAATGTCAGCATATCTTAGATTAGAGCAATTAATGATAGAGTTCCACCCACCTAGTCTCCAGCTCAGGCATGCCATTGGCAATGAAAAACTAATTTGGAGAAACATTTGGTGCCTGAGAAAGTTTCAAAAGTGGCCTAAGATAACGACAACTCTTCTCTTTGTTATAGAGCATGTCTAGAAAAAGCACTCTCTCTTTTGGGGAAGGCGCTCCTCCACAGTGTAGCTGTTATTATGTGAATTACTGACTGTTTGTTAAACGCTGCAGCATAATTAGTGATGTACAAGACACAAACACAGTAACCTGCCTTAAGAGAAAGCAAAGCTCAGAAATGCATTTCCCCTTTTATCATTTAATCCAGCCAACATGACTCCTGTTGCGGTCTCTCAGCTTATACACTTTAAAGATCTAAAGTTATGAAAACTCTAATATAAAGCCTTTTATTACTATTTACATTTCTGGATCCCATCGTCTCAGAAAGAGCCAAGAGCAGAAGGGAGGGAAGAGTGTGTTACAGCACAAAATCATAAACTTAAAGCGATTTTTCTACTGAATACTGGCAATACATAGAATCTATGCCGGGGTGACGGGTCTTCAAAAAATCCTGTTTTAAAGGGGTTCATCCCTCCGGACTGTAACAACAAAGAGTTAAACGCCTTGTCTTAAATGACTAACATCAATCCCATCATTCCTCGTATACACAGAAAGTGTGGTTTTATAGTTTCTCCTGCCAGCCGTTACCTTATAAATCCCATACAAAAGTAAGACCTTTGTTTTATTTCAATACAAATGTCTCCAGCAAATGTTTACCCTACTCTTTTGAAGCTTCCTCAACCCACACCACACCCTAGCAACTACACAAAAATGCCATTTGCCTTGAATCCCAGATGCATACTTACTGAACCATTTGTATACCCTGAAATTTCAACATTATTTGCTACCGCAGGTTAACTCTTCTTTAATAGATACATGTGTATGTGCATGCGTGACATATATATATATTAAAAAACATATATGCAAGCATACACACACAGACGTTGTTTATTAAACCAGTTGCCAAGTCTAATCCTACACAATTTCTGGTACTAATTCCCCCAAATAAAGTATCTTCCTCCAACCTTTAAATTTTGAGAATAGAGAAAATATTAATTTCCTCCCTAAGGAAACAAAATTTGATCTAAGTTTGGAAGGAAATTAATAATTAAGAACAAAATAATTCTTATACTAGCCAAAGCTTGTCCTAAGTATTGCTAGCAATGTTAAAGAAATATGGATTGTCACAATACAAATCACTGATAAGACTGTGCTGCTCTATCAGCTTGATTTTACAGTTGTGCCCACTGGAATCATAGCTCACTTCAGGCCACAATGTCTAAGAACCTAATCCTGCAAATCACTCAGTCATTGAAAACACAGCTTATTACTGTATGGGCTATGCCAAAACTCATTAAATAACTGGAAAGGTTCCCAGAGGCTTCAGCATGCTTTGGATTAAAGATCTACATTTCAGTTAAATATAGCAGGACAATGATTGCACGCAAGTATACACAACTGCACAGCACACAACTACTGTACACACCAAAAAGCATGTGCCAACACCTGCCTGAATAACATATCCGCCAACATGTCTGTTTACGGCATGTCCAAGTTGCAGCACTTTGCAGAAATCAGTAATTTCTTGGTATCACTGAAAAGTTTTTTTTTATCTGCTTTAAGATGATATTTTTCTTTAGCAACTGTTCACTGAAGTCACACTTTTGAATTTAAGGTTAAAAAGTACTTTCCATAAAAATATACAATTAATGTATTGTTTCAGAGGTAACATCATCCTAACCATTTTAAATTAGTAAAGTATAATCAGAGAGAAGGCATATCTCAAAGAGTTGGTATGATTTATGACAAAGATACTCTCCTTTGACCAGGAGAGTTCTGGTTCTTAATTATCTTTCTTGCAAACTAACTTCTGTCAGCAATAAGACTGCAAGCAGGCAGATGTATGTCTATCAAAAATGAAGCTGAGCTCTCTGTTCAAAAGCCTCCACTAGAACTTTGTCAACCAGCCAGATGCTGCAGCAAAATCTGCTGTAGGGCAACAGCAAGGCAACTACCTACCTTCTAGCATATCATAAAAAGACTTTTAAAAGATGATTAAAAAGTCAGCCAGTTCTTGTTAATTGTTGTTTGTTTCCTCACCTTTTTTTAAAGAACTCCTTTAAAAACACCAAACATAGCATTCAGGTTCAACCAAAGGGAGCCAACAAATCACCTTGCCCATAAATGTTGCATATTTATATATAGAAGTAAATACAGGAGTGAAACGAAGATGGACTATACAAAAAGTGTTCATCACTTCCTACCTCTGCTTCCTTACTGCACAGTATTTTTGTCTCAAGGAAGCATAAGGAAGAGTTTGACATGGCTGTAAGACCCTTCCCCTCATTTCCCTGTATCCTGCTCTGAACCACAAGCCCCACGGTGACCTCTAGACAACAGCCCCAGCAGAAAAGGATGTTGTTCTAGAAAAAGGTAAGGATGTGCCGGGCCCAACTCTGCTCTGCCAGAAGGCAAGGGAACTGCTGTTGTTGACCAGATACAGCAGAGGAAATGCTAGCAGAGTGGTGTTTCTGACATTGGTGCTTTTCCCTTAGTCCACAGAAAGCAATGGCGAGATTATTCCACAGCTCAACATGTGCTGTACAAGATTCCCTCTTCCATTGACTTGTTCTGCCAAGCAGCAGTCGGAAGATGAGGGACCGAGCACGAGGAGCTGGAGCCAACACCCCAGTTCCCTTCACATTACTGAGGTGATAGAAAGGCCTCTGCTTGTACTCTCTGAATGCCTGTTTCTTCCACATAAGATCCAACTGAGATGCTGCCTTACAAACCCTTAGCAGACTCACTGTTAACAGGCAGATTCTGGCTGTCACACCCGCGCTGTTATACCCTCATCCTGAAGGGCTTCCAGGAGGAGGGTACTGCTCTGCTTGCGTGTGGGAGGAGAAATCTGGCTTTAAATCAGCTGTCCTCCAGGTGGAGTAGGCAAGTGAGAAATCTGATGCTCCAGATAAGTCTTCCTAGATGCGGGTTCAGTCTCCCAAGAGAGACAGGGATATTTGGTTAGGTGATTTCTGCTGCTTCTGTTTGATTTTTCAAGATCGTTCCCCTGTGTACTTCCAACAACCGGTCTGTTTTCTTTATTTCTTCCCGGGCTAGTAGAGCACTTCATCACATCACACCTCAGAGGCCCTGGAAAGAACTGCTCTGTACCGCTTTTGTCTGACTCAGAAGAGAAAGGTCTTTGTGCCTGTGAGGTTAGTTTTAATCTTGAAATTGTGGTGAAAAGGGAAAACAACACTGAGCAGAAACAATGGAGCCAGTTTAAGATCATCATTCAAAAAGCTTAAGAAAGGAGAGTCTGTAATTAGGCCTTGAAATTCTTCATCTCTCTTGGATGAGGTAATTGCTGGAGAAAAAGAAGCCTTCAGTGACGTGCCTCGGAGTCCACAGTTTTCAAACACAGCAGGGGCATCCTATGGGAATCCCCAGACCCAGTGCAACTGGTTATTGTATTAGACTCTCCAACAAGAGCAAGCATGTGGGTACATGTACATGTGTGCGGGGAGGGAAACACTTTAGTGCATGGTGATAAGCTTTCAGGTACAATCTGATTTATGCTTGATAGCCCAATACCAAATTGTGCCATGAATCCTCTTACTTTTATCAATACATTTGCAGTTCAGGCTCCTAAAAGATCAGAGATTTGGTAACTACCCCCAAAATAAATACACATAAGCTAATTTGCATTTTAATGACTACTTCCTGCAGAAATACAAGTGGCTTTCTTAAATTTCACTCCTGACACTTTTTTAATCCAGCAACAATAAGAGAGTCATTATTTTAAAATCTTACTATGTTATATTTCCAGTGACCATTGCGAGAGTTGTGTTCTTAATGTTCCGGCACCCAAGGCAGGAGCAATGTGACTGGTGTGAGATTAGAACAAAATGGTAGAGGATAACACCTGACACTAGTGGATGTGACTTTCTTGCTCCTAGATCAACATGGTGTCTTGCTAAGTCTGGCTTGCAGCTGCAAATGCAAGTGTGTTAAAGAACTGCCAGCCTTAGCAATGGGGATGGTAGTTGCCAGTGGGAGGAACAGAGAAGACTGCCATGCTCTAGCCCTGGTAGTGCTTCTGTAAAGGTCCTTGGGAAAGTCCGTCACGTTGGAGATCCCAAACCTGTATTTGCTGTATTTGCTTGAATAATGATCACATGCACACAACGGTCATCTATTGTGACTGCAGAGGACAACATACCACTGTATTTTGAAATGGAATCACATAATAGGGGAATATCTGGGGCGGTGAGAATGTAATCATTACATGAGTAAATATAGCACCATTAGCAACTGGGCCAAGTACAACTCTGTTTACCAAGGCCAGCTTTTGAAAGAGCTAGGTGGTTTTCAGAACTACTGTCTTTTCGTTAGTGCTCTGTTCTTTTAAAATGTGCATCAGAGATGAAAATCCCTGTTACTACAAACCTCAGCACCTTCAGTCAGCAAGTCAGGACAGTGAGCGTTAATGCTACCACTCCGTGCTCAATGCAATCTCCCACAGGACTCACTCGCTCGCTCGATGCAATCTCTAACGCTCTGTTAGAAATGCAGTGGGGAATCATGCATGAAGATGTCTCTGTATCTGAAAGATCCTTAGCATTACTTGAACATTGGGCATTTTGTATTCAACATGAAAACAGTATCAGGAGTTTGCTAAGCTCAACAGTGTTTGCTGTTTATTATTTCTACATCCCCGAGAGTCCCGCATTACCCCCACTCATTTTACACAGCCTATTTCCCTTGTTGTTTGCTTCCTGGGGCCCAACTTCTTCTTATAATTACCGGCAGCTTTTAATTTCTCCTACACTAGTCCATGCAGCTGAAATACACTGCCACCCTTTGGATAACCTTGTCTGTAAGAAACTTGTTAAGGTGCTCTGCCGTCCTGGTTTATAGGTCCACTGTAGCAGTCTCATCCCTAAATGCAAAACCCCATGTTTGAGGGAAGGGAAGGGAAGTGAAGGGAAGGGAAGGGAAGGGAAGGGAAGGGAAGGGAAGTTCGGAGAATGGAAGGGAAGGGAAGGGAAGGGAGGGGAGGGGAAGGGAGGGGAGGGGGGGGGGG